AATAAAATCACGTGTTAAATATGGTAGTGATCGGCATAAATTTCAGCGGTGGCTTAACCATTTGATGTGATTAAGCCGTTCGCACCATATACATACTGTATGTATGTTAGGATCATATGAACAAAAATATAAATCACGTCATATATTTTTCTTTATTGCAATATACGAACATCAACGGACGTTCCTAAAATTATATATTTAATAATAATAAAGTTTGTTGGTTCTTGAATAATTACGTATATTTTTTATTTCTTATATATTACTTTATTACAAAGTAATTTTTCAATGATTTCCCTATGTTCTATTGTCAGTTCCAATATTAGTTCTGATTTCCAATATATAAAAATATTATTATTTAGTTATTTTCTTTATAGAAGTTTTTGTAAAATATAAAATAAACATAATTGGCAAACTTTTTTTTATTAAAATTAATTAAGATTAATGAATCCTCGCGCTCTAGAGAAATTATTTAAAAATGAATACACATTCTCGAGAGGTTAATTCCACAAAGAGACATCTCTAAGAGTTAGGATATGGTAATGCTTTACTATGCATTTCTAGACAAAATTTGATAAGTACAAAAGAACGTACACCTGAGGAGGTACAGTAAATTCGTGATAATCAAGTTAAATATATCTTTACATACTTACCAATATTGTAATTTAATCTTCTCAAACTTTAATGTTCAAAGTGAATAAGAGATGTATTTTTGATCTCTTTCAAAATAAAATAAAATAAAATAATAAAGCCAAGCTAATAATTAGTAGTAAAATCTGTAGATTTTGATAAAACGAGTTTGACTGATTATAAATGGCAGAGTTTGTGGGTCATTTGTTATTAAAATCGAGTTACTAACATAGTAAATCATATGATTCGCGATATTAGTAGCAAACCTCCCATATAATAACATCCTCGACATATAATGCTAGTCTTAAAGTTTCTACAGCTCTCTTAGAACATAAATATAATAAACTTGTGATGTACCACATCGTTAAAAAAAAAAATAAAACAAAAAAGAAAAAAGATTTACAAAATGTTAAATTCGCGCCTAAAATTTTCGATTTATTGTAATTGTTCGAAGAAGTTTGATTTCCAATACAAGTTTCTAAAAGCTTTTAGCGTTACTTTAGTCCGACTTCAAGAATATCAGGATATGGTTTCCATAAACTAAAAATTTATCGTTACCATAAAAGGAAAATATATATATATATATTTTTTTAATTGATCTATTAATTATTTTGTCAACACGTGAAAATTAAAAAAAAAAAGGGATTAAATTTTATTCTTGGCTAATAAACTATAAAAATAACAGTTCAAGAAAAGTATTGATAATGGATCGCGATATGCTAATAATAATCATCAAACCAAATTCAATAAAAACTCGCTATAGATATAAATTTATTTTATTTTTGCGTTCGTCCATCAAAAAATGAATTGTTACTTAAGAATTTCCCGTTTCTCTTGATTCTTTCACAAGCTTACGTACGGTTTTAGTATAATTATCACATTCCACCATAATTTTTTCCCACCTAGCGTTAGCCTTCGACAAAGCTAATTGAATTACTTGACTTTCGGTTCTCTCTTGTAACAAAATATTTAATCGATTATACTGAGTATCCCAATAAACATTGTAATGTCCCATTTGAAATACTAAAGGGTTGATGCCTCTAAGGATTTGTTCTACATTAATTCCTTTCGTCAATGCTTCTTCAAAATCTCTCATCTCTTTTATTTCTCTTTCAAGTTTTTTAATTTTTTTTTTTACCTCTATTGATATTTAAAAAATATATGCCAACCGTCACAACCATAATTCCAAGAAAAATCAAGGCATCATCTTTATTATTAATATTCAATTTTCCACAAACAAGTGCAAACATAAGAATGATCCCCATGGTCACGAGTTTGCCATTACTTCTTTCAAGGTCCTTTAATTCTTCTTCTTTTTCCAGTAATAATTGCATATTTTTGATGGAGCGAGCAGAAATTTCATTGTTAATTTCAATCAATCTACCCTTAATATTATTATATTTATCTTTTATTTGTCGAGTTTCCTCCCTATTTGTTTGAGTATCATCTAAATGAGTACGTAAGATTTCTGAAACACGATCTGGACTAAAGTTTGAGCTCCCTAAAATTTCTATACATTCAATCATATTTTCGGCATGTTTTTCAAGTGTAATGCTCTGCGTGATAGATTTTTGTAAACAAGAATGAAATTCTAATCCTTGCTCATTAATTTCATTTATTTTTGCTCTAATCAAATGATTATCAGATAAATTATTTTACCATTTCTTAAAATATATGAGAATTTTTTTTATTTCATCTTATACGTGGCAAATATCAGAGTTGGATGGTTGAGAGGATTCAGCCATATTTTTTTTTTTTTTTTTATTTTATTTTTTGAAAATGTCAACCAACCTGCAAATCAAGAAAAAAAACAAGTTTTGGCTTTTGATTGGAACGCGATATTTATTGAATCAAGTTATACCTTTCAAATTTGGAAACAAATGACCTTTAAGGAACCATCAAACCCTTTTGTTTTCATCATGGGTTTGAGTGTCCGTAAACATATTTTGTAAACTAGAAAAATTCAAGTAAAAAAAAATTTTAATTATTTACTGTAAAAGCATGACGAATACTCAGAGCTTCAACGCATCTATCTTGTCCAAATTATAAATAAAATGTTTCAGTCTTTCAAATACTTTTTTGAAATTCAATAGGGTTAAATTATATTCAAGAAAGTCTTAAGTAACTTTCGAGATTTATCGAACAATCAATAATTCATCGCTCGTAATTAAAACTCATGCTAGTTGATTTGATTACATTTGATGAATGCTGTAATGATGACGGTTGTTAGTGATGTTGGAATATTAAGATATTGTTTGTATTTAATAAGGATAAATCAAGATCATTAAAGAACCGAATATATGGAAAAACGGGAGAATTTATCTAAAAAAATTATTAAAGCAGATAATTAACCGATAATGCACGATTTATGTGACTACGGTCCTTGGAAGGTAATTTTTTTTTTTTTATGGAAATTTCTAAATTTTTTTTTTTGTTTAAAAAAAAAGTCTGTATACAGTATTAACAAAAAAATTTTTCAAATGTTAATATAACAGCGCAGCTACAATTCGCAGCATCATTTCTAAATAAATTAAAAAAACAAAATCTATCAGAAATGAAAAAATTCCTTGAAAATATTAATATACCATATCTGAATCTTATTGGAAAAGTTGCCGAAATAAAAGTGGAAGACGAATAAAAACTATCGCCAGGACCATGTCAAATAAAGCGAAAGCGATTCTCATGATTACAGTATTTTTATGCAAGTTGCTTTGAATGATGATAGGATTGGTAGGAAGTTACGTTAATTAAAATCCTTTTAGTTGTATTTTCTTTTGTTTATCTTTTATTTTTTTAATTTAATTTTCATAATAAAGTTATATTTTAACAAATTTCTTGAATAAAATTCAGAAAAATAGAAAAAGAACCAAACTAATTAAATGCAATCGAATTTCCTTTATTCTAATAACAACAACAGTCTTGTCAAATAATGATAAATTCACTTATAATAGCGATATGATTTTCCCAAAACTTCTTGATTTTTGTAATTACATTTAAGGAGAATAAACAAAAAAATGCGAGATTGAAAATCAAATTAATAATAAAAAGGATTCAGAGATCAAGACCAAGGGCTAGCTACTGTTAGTAATTTATTATCGAAAAACATCATATTTTTTGGGATTGAGAAAATCGGAAATCGTATTAGAAAGAAAATTGTTGATAGTTGATAATTGGGTAAAAAAAAAAAAAAAAAAAAAAAAAAAATAACATTTTTTTTTGGCCTAAACAAATGAACGAAACTTAAAATGTTCATCATATCATAATAAGTACAATTTATTCAAAAGCAGGTTGAGAGAGAAGAGAGAAGAAAAAAATGGGATTTTTAAAAAAAAATGTTTTCACGGAGCCATATTTTTGGAACTTTTTCAGCCGAGAATTTATCTTTTGATTGTGGGTTCTTTCTTTAACGATTTTGAACATTGAACAATAGACGATTTGAATAACTAAAATGTTGCGGCATGACAAAATAACAAGCGGACGCATTCAAAAGACCGAGTTAGTGGAATAATAGGCACGACAAAAGATTCTTCAAATGCGTTTTGAAAATTTTTTTTTTTTAATGCCATAAATAATATATTTGAATGTGGCTATTTCTTTGAATTTGCTGATCTATATATTTATTTATATTGTTATATTTAACATTACTCCGCCCCGAAAACACTTAACATGTAGATTGTTTTCGATATTCGCAGATAGTCCTTTGTAGATCGTTTTGACTTGGCTGATGAATAGTTGGATGGATGGTAGGATGCCAATTTATAAATATGAGCTGAAAATCCTAAAACAGCTGAGCATACCACTCTTGCCCTTCTAATAATTTCATATATACATCTTATACCTTTTAGTTGAATTATAACCTTTAAAGTTTATTTATTTATACATTAATCTAATCGCCTTGAATAATTAATCTTGCGGAGTAATTTTTTATGACCTCTAAAATTTTCAAAAAAAAAAAAATAAATCATTAAAAATGAAAAAAATAATACATACTTCAGAACTTAAATATACAAAACTCATCAAGATGGAAGTTTTCTCTTCAAAATGTTCTTTGAAATTTATAAAAAAGTTAGGGATCAAAGTCATGATGTAAAGATTGTTAATTTCTGTTCTTTGCGTTTTGTATTTATAAATAATTTAAATGTAAGCAGAAGGTTTTTAATTAAGAAATTATGATGTCAAAATATTTTAATAAATTAATTTATCAAGTTTTGCCTCAAAATTACGTTTATTAATCAATTCAGTTAGTAAATAATAATTATTTAAAACTACGAACAAAAGAAATATACAAAAAAAATATAAAAAATAAAAAATTAATGGTGGTGTTGTAACAATATCATTTAAATCCGAATGTCTTCACTAATTTAGGACTCGTGTCATAAAAATCGATAATCCCGACTCGAATTTTCGTGTCGGTCAAATGAAGTGAGTCGATTTGATCAGCTTAAAGCTCTTTTAAGATTTTTTTTTTTAAAAAAATATTTCTTTTATTAAATAGATTTATGCATATGTAATGTTTTATTTTTTTTTAAAATTTGTTTCGGGTTGCTATTTTGTGATATTTTAAGGTTAGTTTATTTGAATTAACAACAATCGAGTGTAATGTATATAGGAGAAAACCATTCCAAATAATTAAATAAAATGAATGACGAATAATTAATTAATTAAATTGATATTACCGAAATGAAATGTCTTTTCCTTGAATGACAACCAGCAAAACAATATATATATATAAGAGAAAAGTAAAATTTATTAAAAGACGTAGACTTTGCATGTGTAAAAGAAATTTGCAAAAAAGTTAATCACTGAAACTTAATAATATTGCTGGATGTAACTGCAATAAAGAACATTTTAATCTTCGTCAAAGGTCACTTTTTGGACGTAAAGTCTAATATATTAACATCGACGTCATGTGGTGTGGGTAAGGGAAATGACTTCATTATATGTACTGGCAATTCAAATCCCGAGCGTTGGCACTGGGAATATATTTTCCATTTTGCTTGACAATATAAATTATAAAAAAAAAATAATTACTATTTGTGCCAACGATTTAAATTTCCCAAAATATAAATTTATGAATGCGTCGAATGCAAGTTAAATTCTTTTATTTTTTCATAGGATTGTGAAGCTTGAATCAATTTTATATAAGTTCATTATGACAGGTATCCAAACGTGACCATAATTCATCTCGTAATTGAAGCCCCGAATCTGACCATATCCAACTTACCTAGATTAGTTTGGACATATGATACCAAATACAATGTTCCAAACTAACTTAGATAGGTTTGGGACATGGTCAGGTTTGGGATATTCGATGCCCCATATATATTTAAACTTATCCCCCGGCTAATAAATTTTTACCTATTTGGAACCTTAAATAAAAAATTCAAATAATTGACTCTCAATAGATAAATTAAAAATATAAAAACATCGCCTCTCCAAAGCTTCCTTTTAGATAAATAAATTCTCTTATATAAATTTAATAAAAAATCTCCTCGATGCTTCTTTTAGATAAATTTTAAAAAATAATATCTCCGAAAAAAATTAAAAAAATTTATCTATGCAATGAATTTCAGATAATAACGAAAATAGGTAATAATTTTGCATATTATTCTTTAGCTGTATTTTTCAACCCTTTTAAAAAAAAAAAAAATTAAAAACTTCATTAATAATATTACTTCATAAAAATAATAATCATAACAAAATGCTTCATTGCATTATTCCTTATCATCAAAGGTTCATTTGAAAAAAAAAAAAAAATTAATAAATCAATTATATCAAAAAAAAAGACTATCAAAAATTTTCGATACTAGTTAAGGTTCATGAATAATTGTCCGAAGTTCATATAAAAATCTAATTTACAGTCATTCGACACAAAAGACCTTTTAACAAATATTCAACTTATACTTCCGTTAAACTGGAAATTTAACTTGGAAATTTTCATAAAAAATACAGTCGAATTTTTGATAACGAATATATTATCTTTATGATAATAGCGACAAAATTGTCGTAAAAAAAGCAATTGTTGAAAGTATAAATTAGCAATTTGATATGCGTATATTGCAATAAAGACGATCATCGCTGTATTCAACATATATTTTATTTTAACGAACCTGATATCGGTTTATGTTCTACTTAATATTCAAAGTCCCTATAAAAAATAAATACGAGGAATTTTGTTGTTGCGTCCGAATTCTTTCACATTTGGACACGTTTTTTTCGGATGGGTTGTCATTTCCGGACATTATT